GGAATATAGTCAATAATATGGTAATAGCTATGTATAGTGCCAGGTGGGTACTAGACTAGTCAGAGGGATCGCTTCTTAAATTTTATATATATATATATATATATACACATATATATGTATTTATAATGTCTAACCACTATGCTGTACACCTGAAATTAATATAAAAAAATATTGAATGTCAACTATAATTTAAAAACTTAAAAAGGGGGGGGAAGGGGATTAAGAGGTTTAAATCTCCAGGCATAAAATAAATAAGTCATAGGGATGTAATGTACAGCATGGGGAATATAGTCGATAATATTGTGATAGCATAGTATGCTGTCAGATGGTTGCTGGACTTAGCATGGTGATCACTTCTTTAGGTATATACATGTTGAATAACTATGGTGTATACTTGAGACTAATATAATATTGTATGATAGCTATATTTTAATAAAAACCTTTAAAAAACCTGGCTGCTGCACATTCTAGCTATTGGCTGTGAGCATGCTCTCTAAGGTGTAGATCGTTCCCTTGCATCAGTTCCCTTATCTTCAAGGTAGAGACTATGACTAGGTGGGCATAAAAATTAAATCATTGCTGAAGGAAACATATTTAGAACAGTGCCTACCACATGGTGAATGCTCAGTTAATGTTACCTTTATTTTTCATGTCTTGACTGCTGGCTTTGTGATGGTTGAGAAATAAGATAACATAGGAAGGATATGTCGACTTAAAAAAAATGTTCAAACCTGTAGGAAATTTTTATGAGTTTAGTTGAGCCAAACTGATGATGTATGCCAGGGAGCAAGATCTCCAAAGCTCTGGAGAACAACAGTTTTGCAGCTTCTTTTATGCCTTTGAGATTAAGGAGGAAATGTAAGGAAGATTTTATGAGGTTGACAGAGGCAAGGCAGGATTGGGTTACTGGATAGTTAACAAGATTATGTACTCTGTTAAGGGTTAATTCCCACTTTGAGGGATATTACTTCTGGTATTGCAAAGGTGTGTTACACTAGACGCACAAGAAGGATGCATCTGGCTTAAAGTCTTCCACTAAAGAAATTAGAGGCCTGGGGCGGACTACCCCCCATGACCTGCCCAGTTAGGGATTTATGATCTGACCACCCTGTGAGGTTCCTTTCCACAGAACCCCTTTTTTTCATCCACAGTTAAAATGGATGTTGATGCAATAAATTAAACCACGAAGGGAAGGTAAAATACCTTTCGTCACAGAAGTCGATCTTCTTAAGAGGGCTTCAGTAGAGCTTATTATACTTAATGTTCAAGACAAGTTATTGTTGTCTATGTTTTCCCTCTTCTGGAGCATAAACTTGGCACAGTCTGTCTTTTCATGTCGTGTTTTGGAGGCTGCCAATGGTGTTAGATATATCTGTGCTAATCACTGTCGGGTATATTCTTATGAACACTCATGATCTTCAAGTAGAACTTAAAAAATTGCCTTAAGGCATTATGCTAAAAGGCTCTTATGATTTAATTTTTCCATATTTTTTTTTCTGAGTGAAGCACTAGGCTCTCTTTCTTGACCATGAACATCTTGACCATGAACAACTGCAGCAGACTTGAGTCACTCTGGTCATTCTCCTGTCACCCTTTCCCCTACACCTGCCAGCCGTGTTCTAAGAAGATGCTTTCATTTTGGACAATCAGCGCCCACTGAGAATTCTGATTCACAAAACAGCATGTTAAGCAATATAGCTGATTCAAGGATAAAGAAGATGTCCTGACCCTTTTGCCTGACCCTTAATTAGCTTAGAAATAAGTAAGTGAAACTGATATTTGTGCAAATAATAAAAGGCAATAAACACCAGGAGGGAAGGAGGAAAATAATGGACATAGGTTGCCTGGAAAAATAGCCAGCTTCTCCAGTTCTAAATTGAAAGCTGTGTTTCCTTTAATTGTCATCACTAACTTGTTTGTTAAGAATGACTTCTCTGAAACCTAGGACAGCGGTGAGCTTAGCCAGAGAGAGGATCATTTTAAAATAAGGCCTCCGTGATATGGTCAATGCATTTGGGAATTCCTTGGAGATGGTAAACAGGATGAGTGCTGGACCATACCTAGCCTGCCTTCTGTGTTGCCACCATTCTCTCTTGTAAACTTTCTGATTACTTTGCAGACTCTTTAGGAAGTTTTTCTTCCTCTAGGCACCTTTCAGATGTTGATTCATACAAGGCAAGGCATGCATAGATCCCCTAAAATATTTGTTTAATGAATACATTGATGAGGAATCCTTAATGTGGCAACATACTCATTTTGTGTACTAGGGAAATTAGTAATATCGTTGGACCCTCTGAGATTGAATTAAATGATGACCTTGAGCCATGAGGCACTAAAATAGAAAAGTAGCAGCTAGCAATGCTTCCTCCAGGTGATAACCTGAAGTAAAAGGCGATTCACATCTTTGAGAAGTTTGACTGCCTCTAACAGTGGCTTTGGAATTGATTTTGGAAACTACATATCCTAAGGGTGTTTAGGATTAGTAGATTCTCCACATGAGTTTGCTCTCTATTGGGAAAAACTAAATTATTTGACTGCAGGGATTTTCGGCTGCAAGTCCCCGGGAACTGAAGGCTTAATGCTTTGAAGTCAGAATCCACATAGGGATACAATAAAGGGAAACTGTCCTAATCTCCTACCCGAACAACAAGGTGTAGGTGTGCAGGTGTATACAGAGTGCCTGGCCTGTTGACAACCCTAAAAGATATTAGATTCTTCCTTGTATGGGCCAGTAAAGAAAGACTGAAATAATTACCAAAAGTAAGTTCTGAATAAGATAGGATATTTAAGGGCAGTTAATACTGACCTCCTCTCTTATTTGATTTTAATGTTGTAACTGGAATTTATGAGGACACAGTTGAGTTAGGTATGCAATTTACGGTTTCATTGTTAAAGCGCTACTCATTTTCTTACTTTTCACAAATAGTGATACAGCTACTATGACTCAGCAGCCCTTGTGGAAACATTACAATAAAATGTTGAACTTACAGCACAAACTCCAGATGGTTCATTGGCTTTGTTTCACCGTGGAAAAATCACTTACCCCCCAGTGTCAGTTTACCCATCTGTGAAATGAGAAGGATAATATTTTCTTATGGGGATGTTTTGAAATTATTTTGCAAATGTAGTGGGTGGAATTGTTGCAAGCATCACTGCTTCTCCCCCACTTCTTTACAGAAGCAGAGAGTATTATTTATGGACTAGTCGATAGTCAAATTGTCACCTGGGATGAACCATGTATATTTGTTTTCAGCTGTGTGCTTTTTACTACTTAAAGAGTTCCCTCCTCTACCAGATTATTGGGTTATTTATTCATTAGGTCAATACCTGGGAACCCAAGCAAAGTATCTTAAAACTATTTTCAGCTTCTTATTTACGAGCTGCTAACCCTCTCTCTCAGGCAATTATTTCTTCTTTCTGTTTTAGCTCATTTTTTCTCTGATGTAGTTTCTCGCCTCACCTCGCTTCACAAGATTGATAATTCTCCATGTTTCCCTGCTAGAGGTCACCTCTGAGCTGAAGGCAAAACACATCCCACGCTGGCTCCTGTTGACTTTCCAGTCAACTATCAAAGAATTTATCCCAGACATCTCCTAACCTCAATTTAAAAACTCCACCCTAAAGATTACAGGGAGATATCCTGGGGAGTTGCCATAGTGACTCTAAGGGTTTGGCAATGAGGAGACAAAGCTACTGATAATCAGATTTTTACATTTGATAGGCTTAATTATATAATGTGGTCATGAACCTCTGTGCTTGTGTCACTTAGGTCTGGAAAGAAAATTTGCCTGACAGGCTCTTCTGTCTCTTGTGGTGCCAATCAACAGGCTTCTTGGTAATAAGATTCTTTATGCCAATAGCTTCAGCTAACCTCAAGTGGTGCTTGTCGTAATGATAGAATCATTACAAAACTAAAGAAAAAAGGGAAATACATTTCATGGGTGTGATTAAGTCATCCTAATGTTCTTGCATATGTAAATTATTCTTGACTTAATGAACTACCTTGGTCTTATAAGAGTATTTTAACCTGGCTCTAGAAAGTAATTTTTTTACCCATGTTGATAATTGTTACCAGACTTGGCGGAGCTCATCTTCAGATCATCTTGCTGAGATGATTATTATGTATTATGTTTCTTTGTGCATACATTTTGTTTTAACTATTACAAATGCTCTTGTTATTACCAAATTAATAAATAAGCATAATACTTAGAAAGATAGGAAACTTGATTATATTCAAATGATATCCAAATTGGCGAGGGTCATTTAAAAATAGGTCTTTTTCTTGATTATAAAAGAAATATATATTCAATGGAGAAAAATCATAAAACTACAGAAAGGAACAAAGAAAAATAGTATCTCTATTTCCCAGGTTAGAGTGATCACTTCCAATTTTGACATAGTCTATAAGATGAACACTTTTTGAAAAATGCTTACATTGTTTTCTTTCACATGTTTTGTGCTTCTAAAAACAGTTACACCTACAAGAAATGCTGGTGAAATAGGATTCTTTTATTTATTTTATCAGAAATTGAATCTAAAGTTCTAGTATCCATATTTTATAGACTTTATTCAAGATTATAAAAGCTGCCAGGGAAGTATTTAATATGCTTGCTCTGCTGCTTTAGAGAGTTCAACTCACCCAAAATTGTTCCAGTGCCTTATCTTTAAAGATGGCCAGGTGCAGCACCATATCATAATGCAAGGCCAAGAGAAATCAATGATTATCACATTATTATTTAAATATAAATCTTTATGTGTGCCTTGGATGAAAAGAAGATTTTCTGGAACGTGTTAGAGAATATAAGGGGGTCCTTGTATGCCCACACGGTTGTCCTTTCATTAAAAATTTTAAATTATTTTTCTGTTCTTTTTGTAATACATAGTTTTGTTGGTTTAAATTTTATTTGGAGTGAAAAGTTAAGTACAATGTAGCTCTTGGGAAGTTAATCATTTTATAACTTTCATTTAATCACCATTTCCTTTCATCCCCTTTTAGGCAGCCAAGGGCAGTTTCCACTGACACAGAATGTAACAGTTGTTGAAGGAGGAACTGCAATTTTGACCTGCAGAGTTGATCAAAATGATAACACCTCCCTCCAGTGGTCAAATCCAGCTCAACAGACTCTGTACTTCGATGACAAGAAAGGTGAGTATTTTCTTTTAAGTGTTTTAATCATATTCTGAAACATCCTAATTATAATGAATTTCTTTTTCTGAAGTGATTCAAATTATTCCTTTTGATTACTAAACTGCTCCTGCTTGTATTTAAACATGTTAAATATTAAATACTTTAGTTTGCAAGTCATAAACACTAAAGATAACCGATGTCAACTTTCTAATAAAATAAACAGTTCTAATTCTGTTTCAAAAATAGCTTTATGCCTTCTCTTTGCAATCATCTTCTACCCAGATACCCAGATATTCTTTTGTTCTTGTAACTGCCTTGTGTACGCGTATACATTAAAATTTTTTTCACACTTCTGGTAATGTGATATGTTATTTTGTTACCCTCACCTTAATATATTTAAAAGCTGTTATATGATTTGGAAAGTTTTATGATTTATTGTCATGAATTGCGTTTGAAAGTAAGAATTGTAGAAATGATTTCCGTAATAAATTTAAGTAGCTCCGTGTTTCTAAAGTAAATAGTATACTCCCTTGCATATTTCAGTAAATCTTCTTTATCTCCTTTGGTACACATAAAAATTTATATTCAAACAATAACATACTTATCATTAATTTCCCTCTAGATTTAACACAAAGTCTTTAGCTTATTTTAAACTTTAATATACAATGAAGGATTGATTAAAAATCTAATTAATTTATTTGACAAATATTTTTTGAGGGTTCCCTTGTACAAGGCATTAGAGTTAAAGAACAGACAGATAATCCATGCCCATATAGGACATACAGTCTAGTAGAGGAGATAGACAATAAACACGTGCACAAAATACGAGTATGTGGGTAGGGGACAAGTTTCCTCTATTGTCCATAGATAGATAGATAGATAGATAGATAGATAGACAAACAGATAGCTAGATATTTCTCTAGATAAAAAGATAGATGATAAATGAGAGAGAGAGAGAGAGAGAGATTTTAAGAAATTGGCTCAAGTGATTGTGGAGGCTGTCAAAGCTGAAATCTGCAGGACAGGCCAAACTGGAGACTCAGGAAGAGCTGATGTGTCCACTCAAGTCTGAAGGTAGCCTGGAGGCACAGTCTCTTCTTCTTTGGGGGACCGCAATCTTTCTCTCTTAAGTCCTTCAACTGATTGAATGAGACTCACCCACACAACACAGGCAATCTGCTTTACTCAAAGTGTTCTGGTTTAAATGGAAATCTCATCTCAAAATACCTTTTCAACCATATTTAGGCTGGTGCTTGGTGAAATATTTGGGTCCTGTGGTCTAATTACTTGACATATAAAATTAGCTATCACAGAGGGTAAGGAATGCTCTTATTTCTGTAGAACTTTATTATTTAGAAAAAAAACCTTTTATTTACACTGTTTTATTTTGCTGTCTAGGCGACAAGGAGAACAGATATCACTACTGGCCATATTCTCATAGGAGTATTTGGGAGGAACAGGTTAAAGTTCTCACAATTGTCTGGGACTTAAAGAGATGATTGTGACCTAAGCATTGTGACTTAATCTTTTGGCCAGACTAAAAGCCACTATCATGACTTCGTATTTATGTTTTGATTAGAGTGTTTGATGTGCAGTTCATATTTAACAGAGCCTCCCAGTCATAAAGATTTTGTTGTTGTTATTGTTGTTGTTGTACTTTAGGAATGTTTTAAAGAGTCTTACAGTGAATTTTAAAACATTCATCTGCTAAACACACTCACTATAGCAATACTAATGTAATTTTAATTCTTATTAATATTATTGATTATTAATGCTTCTGATTAAGGCCTTTTTTAAATCCTATTGTAGGTAAACATACTCGGTGAGACTATAAAGTATGCCTTTTCATTTTGAGAAATAGGTAAGGAATATCTAGTGTGATCTTTTCAAACCTTTGTAAAGAAAGGGTATTATTCATATGTAAAAAGTTGAATTTATGGGTCCAGCCAAGTGGCTTAGTTGGTCAAGAGTGCGAGTTCTGAGCAACAGGGTCACCGGTTCAATTCCCACATGGGCCAGTGAGCTGTGCCTGAGCTGAGCTGCCACTGAGCTGCCAACAGGTGGCAGGATGGCTCAACTGGTGAGAATACGTGTTCCTAACAACAAGGCCGCCGGTTCGATTCCAGCATTGGATGGTGGGCTATGCCTACCCGCAACTAAGATTGAACACTGCACCTTGAGCTGAGCTGCCTTGAGCTGCTGATGGGCAGCTGGATGGCAACTGGACTTAGAGCTAAGCTAGCTGCACCCTCCACAACTAAGACTGAAAGACAACAACTTGGCTGTTCCCCTTCCCCAATTCCTCAATAAAATCTTTTTTTTTTTAAGTTGAATTTATGAATTAATTAATTGCATTAAAATTTCACATATATAACACAAATAAACCAGCTTAATTTTAGGTAACTTCAGTGGGAATGAAAGTTGTATTAGATGCTTAAAGACTTTTTTTTGATTTCATTGGTTTCTAGCAAAAATATTCATCTCTTTTATCATGTTAATGTTATATAAGCTTTATGTTTTGATCTTAAATTCACTAGTACTTTTGGTAATGAAGTCACTCCCCACACCAAAAAAAAGTGCTAGTGTTTACTTTTTTTTTTTTTTTCCTTCTTGGTGTTTGGAGGAGTTTGTTGCTGTTGTTTTAAACCAAGTGAGCTATGTGGCTTTCCAAATAATGAAGTTCTATTAATTAAAAAAATTAAATACATAAGCAAAAAGTCACACAGAGATTTAACAACCTCTTTTTGCTTTTAGTATTCATTGATTACACGTATTTGTAAATAAATATTTAAAACATATTTTCCCAAATATAAGGTGACACCAATTTTAACGGAATCTCTCATTTGCCCAATGATATAAAACAAAATAAAAAAAATATTTAGGGGGGTGTGCAGCAGACTTTTTAAGGATATTCATGGAACAATTAAATATATAGTTACGCTATTTAATTTATCAATTTGATTTTTGTACATATTTAAACTAACATAAAAACATATTAATTTAGAAATACTGCTTTTTCCCCACCCTTTACATTTAATGAAATAATCTCATTTAGCAGCACTTTTTTGAAAGTGTAGATACAATTAATGACAAATTTGTCCCAAACAACAGCTATAAAATTTTGGAAAATTTGAACATTTTTGTTTTTCTTTCATCCTGCAGGAATATAATAATCATCTCTACCATGTAACCACTTAATGTACTGCTCTTTGAAGAGATCTTTGAGAGACATGTTTTCAGTGACATCTACATCTGTGAGGTCAAATCCTCAGGCACAAAACAAAATCTATACAAAATGCCTTTGCCTCCTTTTTTAGTAATTCTATAAGTATCCTCCATAGAACATCTAAAACTAGAATTGATTCAGGGTATTTCAAGCAAATGCATCTTTCCTGTAGAAAACAGAGAGCAACTTGTAAAGCAAAATTTGCAAAGGCTTGGAAATAAACAACTCCTCTTCTGAGGGATAATTATGATAAGAAAAATTTCTTATATTTGATATATTTAGCAATATGTTCCTACATCTTACTGATATAAAATAACAATGCATCTGATCACGTGAATTGTCGAAGTATGTACTTGCCTTTAATTCATTTTTCCTTTCCTAGTTGCTATACAGCTTAGAGTTATGTTGAAAAAAGCCTGTGTGTGTGTGTGTGTGTATGTGTATTTATGTGTTTGTAGTATGTAACAGGTTTCTGTTTTCAATATTAGACTTTTTCTAACTCTATTTTGGTTCTAATTGTCAATTGTAACAGAATAGCAAAAAGGTCGGAATAAGGAAACTCTTTCATGAATGGCAGTCTAACATGTCTCTACCCTTACAAGTACTTGGTTTGATTACTGTGTAATGTCTTAGTGGAAAGGATCCTTGACAGTGATATCAACAGTCAAATGCAAGAGTTTAAAAATGAAAGCATTTTTTGAAGATTCCATGTCACAATTTTCCCCACACTTTTTGTCTGCATTTACCTGCTTAGCCTCATTCCTAAGGCTTATCCTGAGCAAACAAACATGCTACATTGTGCCAGAGTCTAAGCGGAGAAGCTAAGCATGGGTTAGTGTGACTAGAGCATCCCATATGTGTTGTGCAAGTGACAACTGCTCAAGAGAACAATAGAGAAAACAAGGGGTCACTGATTGCACCAGCTTCTACAGGTGGCTGCTACTGTTAAAGGCTTCATTCATGGTTTTATTCTTATTTCTGTCTCAGCTGATGTTGCCAGTTGTTCTTCAGAGCCTTCCAAACAGAATCTGTCAATGATATTCAGTATCCCAATGTTTTAATTGTTTCTCAAAAGATTATAAAATGCAACTGAGGTTGAGAAACTTTGGGTTAAGCAACTCAATTCTCATAAATATCCCTTAGCTTAGATTTCTGTCTTGACAAGCTACTGAGAATGGAGAAAAGGAGGGAGAAAGGAAGGGAGGGGATAAAGCTGCCCAGAGGAACAGACAGGTGCTTCTTATTGGCAATGCTGCTGCCAGCATGAGCTCTAAGAGGCATTCTGAATAGCCTTTCATGCTACCTGGAGACCCAAACTCCAAGGGTCTTGGCTGTAAGAGTAGAACAGAGAACTCAAGATGGTGGCCCATAGGTCCGGTTAGAGTTGGAAAAGTCTGTCTCCTTTACTTGGACTTATTAGCCAAAGTAAAGTGTGCTGTGAGTGGGTAGTTGATGATCAGCTAAACAAGAATTAAGCTGAACCCCTTTTCTAGGAGTCTCTTTCAAGGAAGTTAAATGTGATATTCGAGAATCGCTTCACAAGGAAGAGAGGCGTCCAGGAGGGAGTTGGCTAAAGCAAACTAATGCTGTGATATTTCTCATTGAGGTAAAATATAGAGGAGGGGAGCAAGTTCAGAGTTCTTTTTACTTTGAATACATGTAATATGATCAGTAGCTTTCCCCATTTACAAATGGAGAAACTGAGGATAAAACACTCATGGCAATGTGTCCACCAGCATTCGGGTAATGACTGGTAATGAAGGGATTTGAATCCAGGCATGGCCTCTGTCTT